ATGAATATTTTTAGCCATTTCATGTTTGTATCATATATTCATGAATATAATATGTTAAATAATATACTTTACAGATTGTATTATGTTTTTCATATTTCAGCTTTTAGTAATGTTCTCTTGAAACGAATACATAATAACTATTTACTAAAATAATTTTGTAGAGATATTTTTGTAAAAGTAAAATGAAAATTTACTGAACAACACTAGCAATAGTGTATAATTATAATTATTAAAAAAACATACAAATCTTACTTAAAACAAAAACGTAAGGGGCAGACTTAAAGAACAATTTATTTTGGCAGCATAATACACATTCACTACAAATAGTTCCTGCAAGGAATACCGTAGAATCTGTGCCAAAATAAAGTTATATTCCAATTTCATTGACACAAATGACTCAGGGTTCAGAGCCGACATATCTAGCTATCTGAATATTGCATTCTGGCTATGGCATTCAACTATTTTAGTAAGAGAATACAAAATAACAATAAATAATATCCGTGACGGTAATCTCTATAAATATAAAATTATTTGTTACGTGTGTTTGTCACTGAGAAGCTGGATCGGTTTTGATGAAATTTCTTGTGTGTGTTTGAGTAGTTCCCTAGATAGTTTATATTCACAATTGAACTCGGTAGGTGGCGCTGTTGTCGAGATCCAGAAATCAGCCGTGCGAAGCTGGGCAGACCCAGCAAGGCTAGTAATTAATTAATGAAAGTATTTTGTACTGAACTAAGACTTGTCGTTAATACATAAACACTCACGCCTGTCACCAAGAGGGAAAAGCAGAGACTATGGACTTCCATTTGGCACGATCCTAACACACCTCTCTCACCTCCTTCACGTCCATATTCCTACGCTGGTCGGTTAAGGGAACCCTTAATTTGGCTCATTTTCAATATGTCGCCAATTTGGTTGATAAACTTTCGCCTAGTGCGTCCCTTTCCGACTCTACCGTTCACTTCTGCAACATAAATTTGTTGTGTCACTCTTTCTTCATTCATTATTTCTACATGTAGATTCAGTTTTGATCATGACCAAACCACCGAAGCATTCCTTTCTTAATCCTGGTCACAACATCATCTTGCAAACCACACTCTTCTCTTATGACACAATTTCTCGCCCTGTCATTCAGATTCAGCCCTAACATACTCCTTAATGACCGTATTTCTAAATCATTCATTCTCGTGCATCTTCTGCTACACCCAACTTTCACTACCATGCATTAAAGTAGGGACTAACACAGCACTGTGAATTGCCATATGTGCTTATTCGGACACATTCAGACTTTCATAATTGAGTGTAGAGCCCCATTTACTCTATATCCTGCGTGCACTCTTCTTTCTATATCCTTATCATATCTACCATCCCTGATAAATACACATCCCACATAAACAAACTCATCTACTTGCTCGACCAACTACCCCTTCTATTCTTATTTCACATATGGACTTACTTTCTTCTCTTTCAAAAACCATAACTTTCGTCTTACTTGCGTTCACTTTCGTTCCCGTTTATTTTAATGACCTGTTCATTAATGTAACCATTATTTGCAACTCGGCCGCCGACGCAAATATTACTTGATTATCGGCGCACAAAAGGCATTTGACGGTTAACTCATCCATACCTAACCCGAAATCTTCATAATGATTTCTTATATTTACGCGAACACTACACATTTTTAAATAAAACTAATTTTACGGATTTTATCGCGTATATTAACTTATTTTTATATTCCCGACGTTTCGGGTGCTTTCCAGCACCCGTGGTCACGGGGGACTGAGTTGTTTGACGTCCTACTGTCATAGTTAGCCCGGCTACCTTCAGCTTTTTAATATTAATTTTTGGTTCGATTTACGCAGAATGAGCTTACAGTATCTTGAAGTCTAGCAGTGGTATACTTGGGGAAGGATTTTCCTTGCAAAAGAACACCGATTCCTCCCAAGGATGATTCGCGAGGCTATTGAAATTAAAAAACATCCTAATTTCAATAGAGAAGATGGATGGGTGCTGCCATCTGCTTGGGATCCCATAATTAATAAAATCAAATCCCAACCCAAGTATACCACTGCTAGACTTCAAGATACTGTAAGCTCATTCTGCGTAAATCGAACCAAAAATTAATATTAAAAAGCTGAAGGTAGCCGGGCTAACTATGACAGTAGGACGTCAAACAACTCAGTCCCCCGTGACCACGGGTGCTGGAAAGCACCCGAAACGTCGGGAATATAAAAATAAGTTAATATACGCGATAAAATCCGAAATCTTCAACTTTCAAATTTTCCAAACAACTCTCCATAAATAGATTGAACAACCACGGGGGCAACAGCTTGTCTGACACCTTTATGGATGGCAAACTAGTCCGTAGTAGGCCCCGTTGATACTGACACAAGCACAGGAGTCCCTATACAGAGACTCCAATGTCTGTATCAACCCAGCGCTCAAACCAAATGAGTTTAGTGTTTGACATAACACATCCCTGTCCACTCTGTCATAAGCCTTTTACAAGTCCATGAACGCACAAAAATATTTTTGGTGTTTAGCCAAAAACTTCTCCGCGATCATGCGCATGGAAAAGACCTGATCCGTAAACTCCATTCCCTTTCTAAATCCCGCTTGCACATCTCAAATCCTTCTATCACTTTTCGTCATAACTCTTTCAATTAGTATCTTGGCATTGTCGTTAATAAAATTAATTTTAACATTTAAAATTTTCTGTTTTATTTTGATTCGAATAACTAGGAGTAACTACAATATTGCAATATATTTTAAGAGTTAATTATTATAAAAATCAAAATAGCGTATAACTATAAAACCAAAAATGTCTTTGTTGATTCAAATAATTTTTAAGAAATTGTGCCTTTAGAAATGACCAATTTAAACTTAATAGTATTGAATAGTATTGAATAGTAATGAAAGCAGTGTATAAAAATATATTAATTGACAATGAAGATCTTCATTGAAATTACATCCTAAACAAATTAATAAAGTGCTCACAAACAGTTACACTGATACTTGAGATGAATTGATATAAATAACATGTAACTCACTATCCCCACGAGCGTAATTCAAAAATAGTTTAGGACGTGTGAAGCCAAGGTATTCCAAATATCGTCTCTATTGGCTAATGTCTTATGTTTCCCACTGTTTGAGAATCGATCCAAGAGAATTTAATGTATATATGGAACTGCACAATTGTTTGACATTATTTTTTTTTTAAATATTTACATTTTATGACATTGGTAAACAACACGAAACCAATGTAACATATTATGCAACTGTAATAAAAATGTAACACTGTATTTTTTATCAAATTATAATAAATAGTACTATACTATTTCTACGATATAGTGTAACGAATATTTAATTTAAAAAAAATCTTACTTCCTGAAAATTGTAAAATAGTATAAACTACAAACCCAAATTTGGTCGTAAGTGAAAAGTTTATTAAACAACATCGACATAACACTAAACGGTTATCATATTAAACGCTTTTCTCTGAGTTTGACCAACTCTGTTATTGCAGCGTTCACTTTCCACTGTTGAACACAAAAATTATAGTCGATCACCGACATTCTATATCTGCGCGGGCGGCGCCGTATAACCCGTTTCACGCGCCAGTGGTCGCAAATTAGTAACGCATACCAAAAACAGTTCTGTATCACCTTCTTTATATATCAAGGTGACAATAGATTGATTGACGTTATTGATGTCACTGGCATCGGCGTTATGTTAATATAACTACAAAACCTTCTTATGAAAAATTTAACATTTATATTTTTGTCAATTGATGTCTATGTATCAAATAAAAAATTGACAGAGCAAATATACGCAGATATGACATATCTGAAAACTGAAGTATGTCTGTCCTCTCGACGAGCTATGACGTCGCGGGATGTAATATTTTCATTGGGATGCTTATGGATCGGTATTTGCTTCAAAGGAATTTCCTGTCCTAAATCCGAGAATTGTATATATAATACACCCACTTGCTCATCGTTTTCACATTAAGTATGAGCTAATGTTTTGTGTGTAAACAAAAAATTTATAAAATTGTTTATAAAAATATTTAGTTTCTTCAACACACTCACTCTTAACCTAATTTTTACTTCTGATTATTTGATCTTAAGTTAGTATTAGTTAGAAGTAAGTATGTAAAGTTGTAAATGATCGTTAGTAAATAGTCATGTCGTATACTTCATCTTTTGACCTATTTGCAATTTTTTTTCTGTGGAATAATAACTTCTAGATAAAACAATTAACACGCAACACTTACATAATCAAATTTAGATAGAGCAAAAACCGTTGTTTAAAACAGGAGTTAAACGATTGCCGTAAATTTTATTCGACTCGAGCATTTCAGGTTCGATCCCGTCAGTATCAATGGAGTTTTTATTTTCATTTCATTTAAAATATAAATTTAATAAAAAAATATAATCCTGTTTGGTTGGTACAGCACGGCGAACTAAATGCTTCGCAACCCTGTGAGAAATAAGAGGAGTCCGTGGAACATATTTAAGCTATAAATTTTACTTTGTATGTATTGTATAAACAGCTAAAACTATAGTTATAGTTGCTATTCACAAATAATAGCGTAATTTGTAAAATGAAGTAAAAATAAAGTTTAGCTATTTGAACAATACATAAGCTTTTTCTATTTTTATTTCACTGTAGCAAAAACATCTATAATGCATTCGCAACTAATAAAATCTTGATCTGTCAAATCGAGACAATTAATTGCTGAAAATAAACAGACTGTTTCCTGCCGTAACACAAATTTTCATAGTCTGACGCGCTTGAGACGACGACGATGCCACGTCACTATTGGCGATTGTACGATAGAGAAAGACTACGTTTTCAAGTATTTTCGTATCCCTATGTTTCTTCGTCCAACTGAAATGCTCTATAAATAAGGGTTTCACGTGAAGTTAAAATTCAGTGTAACAACATTCGCACTCGGATCCGGTTCTTTTTATATAGTTAACACACAACTTGAAAACATGGTGAGGATAAGTTAAATGTTGCTTAAGCATATATACATATTGACAGTGAAAAACAATCAAACAGTGATTATGGTGTAATTGTGCGAAACAAAACTAATCAACAATGTGACATAATTGTTATATCTGTAATTCATTTTAAATTATTAAATAGTTTTGATACTACAAAATAGGTTTAAAACTTATACGATAACTTGGAAAATGAGAAGGCTATGAATGATCAATTACTTAATTTAAATTAATTATTAACACTTTCAATATTATTATATTATCTTCCAGATAAAGTATATCATCTGTAGAATTAAGATTTTGTAAACTTACTTAAAAATAATAGATGAAAAAGTTAAAGAACGTGCGAAAATTTACTGTGCCTACCAATTATTTGCTTTTAACATACTATTAATTCTCTTTTGCAGGACACTGACGATGATCAAAAAATGGCCATGCTCCGCAAGGCATTCCAGATGTTTGACACCACAAAGTCTGGTTACATTGATTGCCTTAAAATTTCCACTATTTTGAACACAATGGGTCAACTTTTCGACGACTCTGAACTCCAGGCTCTCATTGACGAAAACGATCCAGAAGGTAATTAAAGCCTGATATTATTTCCCCTAAAATCATTACAATATACACATTAAAGTGACACAGCTATACAACTAATTTTTATTGGTGGAATTTTCAAAAAAATGCAAGGTTATTTTTCAAAGAGATGATTAGTTAAAATAATGCATTACCACGCATTTTGAATTAAAAGATAAAAAAGACAGAATGTTTGAGATTTTTTTAATTAATTTTTCTTTAACATTTGCCTATATGACTTATTTTGAAACTTCTTTGCAAATTTGGCTGGTTATTGCCAAAATAACCCTGTATATATGCGAACAAACTTTTTTTTACACAAACATACTTAATCTCTTGTTAACCGTCGAGTATGATAAATCGTGATTTTAAAATCTTATAAACACTATGTATGCTATAGTCACCACACACTTAACTATACTGAACACATGGTGAACGATGACATCTCTTTGAAGACACGAGTATTACCCGTTAGTTTAATCGACGCAGTAGTTATAATGAGGTTATTTCGGTAGCGGAATGTACGCTGGTATTTTAATGTTCCATATTATATCAAAGAAGAATTACACGTTATTGTTCTTTAAATTATTATTTTTATAGTAAGATGCTTTTAGATTTTTAAAAACTGTAGAATTTATTGGTGAATCTTCTATGTATTCTAATTTGATAAATATAATGATATGCCTCTATACAGTTTTTTTTTTTGCCTATAGTCGTATTTGCCTATAGAACGTCGTTACATTAAACTCAATTGTATTCTGTTTGATTTTCCAGGTTCGGGTAAAATCAATTTCGATGGATTCTGCAACATCGCCTCCCATTTCTTAGAAGAAGAAGATGCTGAAGCCATGCAACAAGAACTTAAAGAAGCTTTCAGGTGTGTTCAAGTTTACTCGTTGAACATTTTTTAAATTAAAATTATTAAATACTTTATAAATATAATTTATTTATAAGTGAGTGATGGAAAATTTTAACTACATAATAAAATATCTAAGGAAATTCCTTTCGTGTTTTTAGGTTATACGATCGTGAAGGCAACGGTTACATCACCACTTCCACACTTAAGGAGATCCTCGCTGCGTTAGATGACAAACTTAGCAACGCTGACCTGGATGGCATCATTGCTGAGATTGACACAGACGGTTCCGGAACTGTTGACTTCGATGGTAATTATTAATATATTAAATAATTAGTCATATTTAATTAAAAAGCTAAGTAATCACTAGTAATTATAAAATTAATGCAAAACCTGTTTTATACTACAGCGTCGTACACGTGGACATTAATATCATCACAGAAATAAATGAAATAGAATGTGTCCTGTGAAATCACTTTATCTTTCCGAAGGAATCAATAGAGATATTATTCAAAAAAATCTCTAACGTACTTGTGTACCACGTTCTATGACTATAATACTCATTAGTAAAGGTTTTTAGTTCTGAATTTAATTGATGTTATTACGTCTTAAATTGACAATAACGATTAAGTTCAACTTTTCAAACTTTGAATGACATTCTTTAAACGTCCACATTGCATCAATATTATATAATGGAAAGTTTCATATAGCAGGATATTGCAAGGAATGCGAACATATAGAACAGATAATTCTCTTTGTAGGATTACTTCGTATAACTCGGATCCATTGGTTCCGGTAGTTCATTCAAATTGTTCCTACAACAGGAGATTTCAGCTATTAACTTGTATAAAACATTAAAACACTTTTATTCATGTAATAAAATAATCATTGTAAAAGGATTACCTAATAACTTTGAATAGGTTTTTTTTTGTATAGTGCTAAAACAGCCTATTTAAATTTCTTTTGGACACTATTTTTTGTTAAATTAGAAGTTTATATCAGCCCAGGAAATATAACAGTTTAATATATGCCACCTCTAGGCTACCACAAAGCAACATCCTAAGCCAACTATGTTCATCAAATTTTTGCGTGTCCTACCAATTCTTTACTGTGGTCCTATGGGAGATATACTCTAAAATTCATCTAAAATAAACTAATAATCACTTCATGTTGTGTCGACCTAATATTATCATCATAACACAGCATTAAATTCGAACATGGAATTATTCTGTTTTAATTCTAAACTTTCAGTTTCAAAGCAAATGTATTTATAAAAAGATAACCTGTAACATTACTGATGTTCCTTTGCAAAATCCAATACGCATCTATAAAAGCTCCGTAGGAAGTATTTATATCTATACAAATAAATAAAATTGAAGTGTCTGTTTGTAATATCAAAATAACAGCTTTTTATTAAATGCATATGAAAGTATATACGGTACTTATAACAAAACACAATTTTTAAAAATTTTTGTCTGTCTGTCTGTCGCCCTGTCTGTCTGTCTGTTTGTTTGTTCCGGCTAATCTTCGAAACGGCTGGACCGATTTCGATGGGACTTTTACTGGCAGATAGCTGATATTATAAGGAGTATAGGCTATTTATATTTTATAAAATGAATTAGGGTTCCGCGCAACATAAACATAATTAAAACCCTAAATTATACGCGGGCGAAGTCGCGGGGAGCAGCTAGTTATAAAATAAAACATTGTTTAAAAGATAAGAATGTGCGGACATAACGAGCATCCTTAGCGTTTTTTACTTCACTACACACACTAGGTTGTAGAACCCATTTTTACCTAGAAGTCGTTATAATTTATAGCCTGTAAGACATTCCATCTTGGTCTTCAAATATGGCAACGCATCTCTATCTTTTTTTATTTGAAGTTGACTGCAGGTACCAATGGACTAAAGTAGCCACTTACCATCAAGTGGACTGTAGTTCGTTTTTAACTTGTTTGACATAAAAAAAATATATTTTATTAAAGGTTAAATTGTAAGTTTTGGGAGAAAATAGTCTAGTTATGATCTTCCTCTACTTCTTCTCACAAGGTATCCCGCAGGAGATACGTGTTGATGCGATAACGTAGCATTTTTTACTTTCAAAACGTGATTTGTAAAGGCTACTTTGACTCTGATTTTTACTTTGATTCATTTTTGTTACAGAATTCATGGAGATGATGACTGGCGACTAAACTTCTCTTTAATAGTTAATACTATTTGTATTTAGAATATACATATTATTAAATTTTACATTGTTTATTGTAAGGAGTTGCAAGACTTCGTTTAAGTACAAAACTAATGCGGTATTAGCATGATTGTGTAACACGTAATAAAAACTTGATGATTTGTCTATCTTATAGATAGGCTGTAGTTACATAACTAAAATAATAATTGTGATATTTATTTAAGAATGCGTCTGAAGACATTATTTATAGAATAATTCTTATCGAACATTGTTAGTAAACAATTATATGCTAATATTTATAACGCATTGTATATATAATATATCTGAAAGTATTCTATAAAATATAATATCATATACAGAATTTTATTTTTATTATTTTCGTATATTTTTCATTTAAACTTAAAAATTCATCTTTTGATTTAATCATGTGCAACGCCATAACACTATTACAATTGTAAACGACCAATTACCTCCAAAACAAAATTAGACGTGTAGCAAGGATCACAATTGGAAAATTGACCAATTTTATTTTGCTTCTACGTTATGATGTACTGCTAGTTGGAGTGTTAGTGTATGTTTTTATTCTCGTATTTTTTATTAATTTGAAGAAACCTAATAGTATTAATGGGCTTATTATTGTATATTATTATCTCTCATGGCTTTCAATAGATTTTTTTATTCATTTAACACTAAAAATCTCCAATGAAGTTATAAATAATAATAGGTCGGGGAAAAAGTTTCTTCATATTCTATGTACAAATTCAAGACATTTTTTTTCAGTTTAATTATTCTAATTATAATATATATGTGTCATTTTGTTCATTAATTTATTGCATCATATAGGTAGTGACATAATCCTGTAGAAATCTTGAGATTTTCGATCAAAAAATGCGACAAGTAGTTTTGACAGTCCTCTTTTGACATAAACCTAACACTACCCAAAGAATTCTGGAGAGACCGAAACAGGTGAAAATCTGAGGGTGCAAGGTCAGGACTATTACGGATGTATTAACACTTCCCAACCAATCTCTCTTAATTTTTGATGAGTGGCCAAAGATGTGTGTGGTCTGGCGTTTTCACGATGAAAAACCACTTCTTTTATGTTGATCAATTCCGGCCGTTTTTTCTCAATTTCTTGCTGTTCGATCGAATAATGGTTTTGCCCGGCGGTAAAAGCTTATAATAGCCTTCCCAATTCCTGATTGGCCAGCCGCTTAACGCCCTGCCCGAGTACACCTTCAGGGAAATAAATTCTTCGCGGTTGAGCAGATTTGACCTGCTACAACAGATGACTCAGAGTTTTTGGCACCGATGGTCTCTGGAGTACCTACATCTTTTGCAGCAGCGCATTAAGTGGTCTGACAAGACGGATCCTCCTCGGGTTGGAGACCTCGTGTTGGTTAAAGAACCCAACGCTCTGCCTTTGTATTGGTGCCGTGGGCGCATTGTTAAGTTGTCGTATGGATCGGATGAGGTGCCTAGGATGGCCGAGGTTTTGGTCGGAGATTCGGTCTTGTAACATGCCGTCGCGACCTTGTCCCGTTTGCCAATCCACTCGCGGACATAATTCCTTATGTCCGGGGCAGGGGTTTGTTTAGGCAAAATATTAAACATTTGAAAATTGAATTCTTAACACACGTTCGAAGCGCATAGCACCGTAGCAAGGTCACACCGCCCCCCGCCCGCTCGCATTCCATTCGGGCGGTGTCGAACGGGACACGTCGAAAGATTCATTGTAAAAATCTGCCGATCGTAACGGACGTTTGTTTTTTTTTTTATGCTGTAAGTCGACTCGAGCTATCGTACCTTGGATAGTGTCGTTTTTTGTTAGCAAATTCATGCAACGACGAGGAACAGTCTAGTAATAGCCTAGGATATTACACGCCGGGTGTCTAATTGTTGTGAAGTTAATGTAATTGCACCGTTTCGTTAAGTGCCTCAAGGGGTCGCGTTCGGTGTTCGAAGTAATTTGCCGCGGAGCAAACGAAGGTGAACTTTGTACCACTGTCGTCGGTCGCGCCACGTGTTGGGTCTTTGACTGTGGTTAACGGAATTTAGTCCTCTCTTTGAAGTTAGTTAAATGTACAATAATGTGGATAGACTGACCTAGTGCCTTGGAGAAAGAAATTGCCACCGGGGACGCCGCAAGAGAATACCACCTCCAAGGCAAAATGAAAAAAATGAGATACCTCCTGGCATCATTGGAGGGGGAGGCCCTGGGCGTCGTCGGCCACCTTAAGTTGTCGGACAACGCCTACCAGAATGCCAGGGACCTCTTCGCCGGAAGGTACACCAACGTCCGACGGATTGCGGACGAATACGTTCGGAAGCTGCTGAACCTCCCGCTACTGAAGGACCGGACCAGACTACGTACGGACATCGTGAATCCTGTCGTGGTGGCTTGCAACTCGTTGCGGTGGCTGGATTTACCGGTGGACGAGTGGTCCTTTTTATTACTCCACATTGTGCTGTCCCGCCTGCCTCTCGATCTTTGGCTCCATTTTGAGGAGAGGTACGGCGGGGACGGCGCCTCGTATATTCCCCCCTTTAGGGACCTGCTGCGGTTCCTGGAGGAGCAGTGCAGGCAGTTGGAGAACGCAGCAGGCACCGTCGAGGACCCCCCGGTTATCAACCGAGCGGTGCCCAGGGAGAGGCGGAATCCGACGCCAAGGCGTCGCCAACCCCCATGAGGCCGAGCGGAGCTCCCGTGGGAGGGCGCCGCCCTTACCCTCTTATAACGGCCTAGCGGCCTGGGAGGCGCCCCCCTGCTCCTATTGTCGAGCCCCCGTACACCGGGCGACGTCCTGCCCTAAGTTGCTGCTTAAGCCGGCCCCGGCGAGGCGAACCATCGCCATGGAGCGCCGCTGGTGCTACTCGTGCCTGGAAAGGCATCTATAATGAGACTGCCCGCACTAGCGGCCCTGCACGCACTGCCAGGGCAACCACCACGCTATTTTGTGCCTGGGTGCGAGCGGCGCGTCCTCTCGGAGCCCTGCCGGGCCCCCGACTCCCACGGGCGGGTGCGCTCAGCCACGCCCCCTGTCGGGTAACTCTCGGCGCTCGCCTGCCGGCCATCGTGGGTTGAAAGAGGTCCCTCCCCCGACCAGTCGGGGGTCACTCCCCCAGGGTCGGGGGGGGGGTCGTCACTCCCCCTTAGCGTATTGAGAGGAACTTCGCGGCCACTCAGCGGTCAGCTAGAATCGCCTCACCCCTGTTAGCTGAGCGGCCGCGACTGGAGTACCACCCTCGTCCCTTTAGTCGATACCGGTACTACCAGGTTCCTGCGATCTCAAGACTGTCCCAGACCCCAAGGCCGAGGTTCCCAGAATTTCCCCAGGTCGGCCCATTTGGTGAGTGGCAACCTCGGGTCGTTGAGATGCCGCCGGAATGCCGCTTCCCGGACCCCCGGTCCGAGGGCCGGTCAGATGGAGGCAGCTCCAGCTAAGTAGCTGCCGCCCTAGCTCCCATCACGGCCGCCTCCACTGAGCTTTAAGTCGTCGGCAGTCCACTTGTCAAACTGTTCTATTGCCGACGGTCTCAGTGAAGGTGTGCAACCCGAGTGGCGACTGCTTAACGGTTCGCGCTCTACTGGATTCGGGTTCACAACGCAGTGTGGCCTCCACTTGGCTGGTGGGACAACTAGGGCTCCCCTGGAGCTGTGAATCACGTCCGATGGCAGGTATTGGAGGTGCCAAGCTTCCTGCTCCTAGGGGACAAGCGGAGTTGGTGTTTGGCCCAACCAGCGAACACCTTCACATTCTAGTTAAGGTAAATGTCCTCGATGACATTGTAGGTTTTCTCCCTAACGTCCGTATAAATAACAGCGCGGTTCGTTGTGCGTTGGGTTTGAGACCGGCAGACCCTCAATGCTCCCAACCTGGGCCTATCGATTTGTTGTCGGGGGCCGACGCGCTGGGGTTAATCTTGTTAGGCGAGATATGAGATCTCTGCAGCCCGATGGCTTGTCGGCCGTGTCCACCGTATTTGGGCACAGTTTCTTTGGACCGATTCTGTGGTCTCTTCCTTCTCCGACTGCCGACCCGCTCTCTGTTGTGGGCGTGTCCTTTTCGGACGTCGTCCAGTGGTTCTGAGAAATTGAGGGACCACCACACGCGGCTCGAATCAACCCTCTGGACCGTGAGTACGAGTTGTTCTAGCAGAACAATACCGGCCGTCGTGTCGACAGTCGTTTCGTCACTCGCTTACCCTTTCTGGACTCACGTCCCCCTTTGGGTCAATCTCGTGTGCTGGCCGAGAAGAGGTTGCTTTCCATGGAGCGCCGCATGCGGTGCGACCCAGCCTTTCGCAACAAATATGTCGAATTCATGCGCGAGTATCAAGAGCTGGGTCACATGTCACCGTCCAACTTCGAATGGCGTTCACAGGAGCACTACTTCCTCCCTCACCATGCGGTCTTGAGGACCCCTGAGAGTAAGATTCGGGTAATTTTTGACGGCTCCGCCCCCACGTCTAACTGTGTGTCCCTGAACCAGTGTCTCCACTCTGGTCCCAAATTAATCAAGGACATATCCGACATTTTGACCCAATTCCGTCGACACCAAGTGGTTTTTGTAGCCGACATTCGGATGATGTTTCGACAATCAGTGGTCCATCGTGATGACCGTCGATATCAGCTGATATTGTGGAGCGAGAATCCCAGCGATCCGATACAGGTTTTTGAGTTGAACACCACCACCTATGGACTCCGGTCCAGCCCGTATATCGCCATGCGAACCCTCCTTGAACTCGCTGAGAGAGAGCGTCTAAAATACGCTCAGGGAGCTTCTATTTTGGAGACTTTGGTCTACATGGACGACATTTGTACGGGCGCCTCCACCGTCGAGGAGAATCTTGTCTTGCGAGACGAATTAATTGCCTTCCTGAAGTCCGGAGGTTATGAGTTGCGCAAATGGTTGTCGAACTCCTCTCATATTTTGAAGGACCTCCCAGGAGAGGATCAACAAGACCCTCATCTATTCGAACACCCTGAAAATCCTAATTTGTTGA